AATTTTTGCGTGCCCAATACACGCAATAGTACACCCTCCAGAATATTTTCGCGATAATATTCGGCATTTAGTCTGATGCCACGGTCGATTAGTACGAGCGGAGAGCGACCGACGGCTGTTATGGCAGCCCAGTTCTGTTGGCCAACCGAAGATGCACATTTTCAGCTGACCTCTTTGGTAAGTAAATTTTGTTTGTTTACAAACTGCTGGACCACGAATTTTTTCTCATCGGAAAAAAAAAACAAATTCAGCAGTTCACCACTTTCGGCCAAGCGAAGCAACTCTTTAGCTCTTTTGAGTCTATCTTTCTTCCGTTACGGTTTAAGTCCTTGCTCTTTACCCCGAGCTAATTTTTCAATATTTGGCGAATGAAATATTGCGATATGTTCAGCTCACGAGCCATTTGTCGGCAACTGCGTCGCGAGTTTCGATCAAATCGCTTCTTTACTTTTCGAACCATTTTTGCTGATGTTACTGTTTTCTTCCGTCCACTTCCTTGACGTCGGGCTACGCTACCAGTATCATGGTTACGGGCGATGGTACTATACAAAAAAGATTTATTTTCATTTAAATGATGCAGTGTTCTAACGAAAATCACTTGTGGTTTTCCAGCCAAATATAAAGAAATCACACTATCACGCTTGAATTTCATCAGGAATAACTTTTTTACTGGAAAATTCTCAAGATGATTTTGTACGCTTGTAAACAATATAATGAGCTGTCACAATATAATGAGCTGTCGGATGAGTGGCTTAGAAATGACAGCAGTCTGAAGTTGGTTGCGGTTTTTTCATCGTACCCTGTATTGCTGAAGAAATATATCCTGCCATCCTTTTTTAAAAGGTCACTGACTTACATTCGTTCACAAAATACGTTCTTTTTAACATAAGAAGCCACCGGTGATGGTGTACTATATCACAAGGTCGACGTATATGATGAAAATTATTTTAACTTGTTTTTAATAAAAACTCAAAAACATAAATAATAATAAATAAAAAACAAAACAACAAACCAACGGCAAATTCTAAACAGAAAAGTGGTACGTCCTTGTGGCTAAGGCATAACAAAATATTTGCAAAAACGTGACTTTTGTCGTCGTTGCTCGTCTTCTTAAGTTTTGTTCTTTACATTTGGTATGTTGTATTGTTCTCGTACAATTCCAAGAGTTCAGAGGATCCTTGGTACGCTTTAAAGCAATAAAAGAAAACCTTAGCAGGCAGCAGTTGCACCAAACAACAATAACAACAACAACAATTATATGAACCGAAACCAAACACACACACAAGGCAAGACAACAATCCAAAACGGAACATTTCAACAAGATTGTACATGAATGCCATAGATGGTCGCAGACTTTATAATGAGGCGGAAATTTTTCTTTTCTTGTTACGCCTCAGACAGTTGTTCTTCTTCTTGGCGAAAGAAATTCTGACGTGACATTGTCATTTGTGTGAGCGTATGTTTGTGTGTGTGTGTTTTTTAATGTTGTATGACACAAAGAGGCCATTTAATTTGGCTGTGTTCGCGGGGCGCTGTGAAGTTTTGTTAACATTTATTTTTTAAGGCAAACGAAAAAAATATTAAATTTAGAAAAAATTATGTTATGTATCAAATTGTAATAATTAATAAAAATAATAATAGTAATTAGTATAAAATAAAAAATTTAAAAATGTTATTATAAATATATATATATAAAAGAGAGTCGTGTTAGCTGCACTATTTACAACCCAAGAACGGCTTTAAAGATTGGCTAAAAATTAGTGAGGTCGTAGCTTAGAGCCAGGAGACGGACAGATGATAACACTTATTCCTTAAGTGCACTAAATGGTACTAAAAAATACTAAAAATTTAATTGGTTAAACGGTTAGGGTTAAAATTCTGAAATTTGGAATTAGGGTCGCAAATGGGGTGCAGGTTAGATATACTAAAGGCTTTATTGTCATTCTTACTAAAAGTGTACTAAACAAGTTAAAAACTATTAGGCGGTTTTGCCGATCGATGTGTACCCTCAGTCAATGTTCGATGATTTAAATATATTTTGACTTCCGTTATGGTTATCCAAATTCTTGATCCTCTATGGAGTGGGTTCCGAGGGAATGGGGGAATATTGTCAATTTCGTATCGGAACTAAATAAATACGATATAAAGACTTGGTAACAGATTAATAACTTCCTTCACTTTACATGACACATGTGATATAGTTGACAGAAATATTCCATGTTCATGCTTCATCTAATGCATATAAAAATATTGATATGGTCAAAATTACAAGAAAATCGAACATTCATATCTCAGGTTTCTGGTTGAGAGAAATATTTGGATATAGCAAACTGTAAAAAATCGCTAAGTTGTTTCGCAAGTTATAACAGATAAAAATATTGAAAATTGTGATCCTTTGTGGGTGAGATACTAGAAGGGGTTGGCAAAAATGTTTGTGTGTGTGTAAAATTCGAAGAGAGTTGGATGCTCATTTCCCTCTCTATGAGCGTTTTGTTTTTCAAAATCTTGAAACCCATGTGGGGGAGGTACCAGAAGGAATGGTCCGATCTCTACCATCTTTACAACAGGTCTTGATGGAAATATTGAGATGTACCAAGTCTGAATGGAATCTGATGTTAATTTCGCGTTTTATGACCTTCATGGATATTCAAAATGTTGACCCTTTGTGGGGGAGGTACCAGAAAGAGTTCACCCATCTTCTTAGCAGATCTCATGGTTAGAAGAAATAATGGGATGTGTGAAATATGAAGAGAACCGGATGATTATTTCGCTTACCGGATGCTTAGTTTTGTTATTCCAAACGTTGACCCTTTGTGGGGGAGGTACCAAAAGAATTAGTCCGATCTCTACCATCTTTATAACATATCTTGTGCTAATAGAAATATTGATTTGTGCCAAGTCTGAATGGAATCAGATATTCATTGCACGTTTTATGAGCTTCAAGGACAATTTTGACCATTTCTTGGGAAGGTACCAAAAGGAATAGAGCGATATATTCCATCTTCAGAGGGTTATATTCCATGGGTTAAAAAAAATATTGGGACATCTGTAATTTGAAGATAGTCGCATCTAATCACATATTATCTGAGTTTTAATTATTCAAAAATTTGACACTTTGTTTGGGAGGTGTGGACCGATTTTGTCCATTTTCTCACCTGATGCAAAAATAAGGATTTGCAAAATCGGATTATCCTTTCTCTATCCGTGCAGTAAATTACTTTTTTGTTGAATATGTTGGCCTTTTATAGGGGAAGTACCAGAAATAGTGGTACGCGAACGCGATCTAAGTTTGATAAGAATTTTACGATGTACCAAGTTTGGACCAAATTGGAAACTTCCTTTGAGAATTATCGTGCGCACTAGCCAGACGGACGGACGAACGGACGATCATCGCTAGATCGACTAGAAATGTCCTGAAACGGATTTGGTCCAAAGAGCCCTAGGATCTACAACCTTTAGTTCGATGAGGCACGTTTTGGCCCTATCAAATGATATGTACCCTCTGTAGCCATATGGCTGAGGGTTAATTAATTCCTTTTTTCCTTTGTATGGATTTGGGATGAAGGTCGCTGACGGGGTGTTGGATAGAATATGGAATTCGAACTAAAAATGTACTATAAAGCACGACATTTGGAAATTTGTACTGAAAGTTCGGAAAGTACAAGCTGGTTCTAAATTTGGTATATGAGGAAGAGATAGAGCTGGAAATCTGGAAATTGGTATAAGAGCTCCTTTTTTGTGAAATGGTGTTGATACGTGAAGGTGGATTTTGAAAAACGTACCAAAAAGTGCAAAATTGTTTAAATGTGGTATTTAGGGAACGGATAGAGCTGGAAATATGAAATTTAAAATAAGGGTATTTGATGTTGTGTAGAATTTGTGAACCAAAGTTTCTCTGGAAGCTCGAATAATAAGTGAATCAAAAGTACGAAAATGCACTTCATTTGGGTGAAGGTAAATTCAGAAACCCAAGTATATTAAGTAGGGTTGATATAAGGAAGTAGTGTTTAAAATGTGTACTGAGTGTAAGAACTTTACTAAATTTGAATTTTGGTAAATCGATGGAACTAGAAATGGAATATGTTGATATTGGAGTCATTTTTATTGCGTAGGTTTGAAATTTGAAGGTGGTCAGGAAATATACACTTAAAATTTCGAAAATTACTAACTAGTACTAAATTTGGAATATGAGGAAAGGATAGAGCTCGAAATATTAAATTTGGTATTTGAGTCACTTTTTGTGAAATGGGGCTAATGGAGGTAGAATTTTTAAAATTTACCAAAAAGTACGAAGAGTAATGAATGGTATTATATTTTGTATTTGAGGAAGGGATAGAGCTGGAAGCCTGAATTTTGGAATGAGGGTCTTTGATGTTGTGTGGAATTGGGTTTTATGGAAATTCGAACATTAGCTGTAGAAAAAGTACAAAAATGCAATAAATTTGGATAAACGTAAGGTAAGAACTAATAATTTGGTGTTAGGAAAATTTAAATAGATGGAATGTAAAAAATTAGTTTGGAAAGAAGACTTATATCAACATCGATGGGGTTTAGAAGACCAATAACCTATTTCTTCTTCCAATATCAGATCTTCGAATTGTCTTCTATTAACAGAAGTCTTCTAAAAGCTATTCTATCTATAATGGACGTGAAGATTTTTATCTATAAAATGGCTACAAAGGATCCTCCCCCGGCTCTCAAATATATCCTGACGCTATTCTTATTTTTTTCACGACTTTTAACATAGGTGCTTCTGTACATTTAATTAAGGTTCTTCTGTTCTGCTAGAAGTTAAGCTTATGATCCTTCTTTTTATTCAAAAGAAACTCTACTTATGATTTTTTTCAGAATCCTTGTTTCCTCACTAAAACTTAAACAAAAGGCAGCTTAATAAACTCCCTTCCATTTGCATTTCTATGAAACTTAAAGTTATTAAAAGTTATTTTTCAATTTTCCCCTCATATTTTTTCTTCTTCTTCTTTTTCTGCTTCTATTTACAGCTACGCAATTCCTCCGATACCCAAGTAATGTTGAGGCGTGTCACCCTCCAATCAACAGGCGTTTACAAATGTGAAGTTTCCGGCGAAGCACCAGCATTTAATACAGTTTCTGAATCAGAAACGATGACAGTCGTAAGTAAGTATTCGAAGTGTGTGAGCGTCAAACACAAGCAGGAATATTAATTCCCAATGCATATACCCGGGTAAAGGATATATTTATATATCTACTTGTTTGCATTGTCCTTGTGCTGATGGGAACGACGAGGACGAGGACGAGTACGCTGACGATCATAAGGACGCGTATCTACTAACTAAGACATTGAAGTAGATTTGCATTTACAAATTAAATTTCCCAGAATGTGGTGCTGCAGTGCAGTAGAGTGGAGTATTATTATGATTATTGTGCTGAAACAGTAGTAGCAGCAGCTGTATGAAAAGAAGAAATAACTAAATAACTAACTAACTGACTGACTGGCAGACTGAATGACTGACTGATGCAATGCTAGTTCTATTGTATGCACAAGTAAACAAATTAATTTCATTTAGCTATTTGCAATACATAGAAATGGTAGGAATCGTTCGAAGTAAATGCACAGAAAATGCTGGTTACTCATTCGGTTGGTGGATTAGGCATTCCGCACCGGAGTTGCCAGATGTAAAGGAAAGGAAAAATTAAATTTTATTATATTTTTTCAAAAAAAAAAAAAAAAAAAAAAATCTTCAAGGACCCTCTGTTGGTTATTTAGGATTTTTAAAGAATATTTTTTAAAGGACCATCAGAACTAAAATCAGACTATCAGACTATCAGACTTGTTTTTAGAGAATATGTTTTCAAGGATCATCAGTGATATAATTGTGAATTTTTAAGAAGAATATTTTTACAAGAACCATCAGAGCTTTAAACGTAATATTTTTAAGGACCATCAGAGCCAATAAACGCGGGTTTTTAAAAAATATATTTTTTAAGGACAATCAGAGCCCATAGAAGTGAAAACTTAAGAAATATATATTTTCAAGCAACATCAGATCCCATAAACGTAAATTTTTAAACGTGGATTTTTAAGGAATATTTTTTGAAAGACCAACAGACCAATAAACGTGGATTTTTAAAGAATATTTTTTCAAGGACCATCAGAGCCAAAGATTTGTAAAGAATATTTTTTCAAGGACCAACAGACCAATAAACGTGGATTTTTAAAGAATATTTTTTCAAGGTCCAACAGACCAATAAACGTGGATTTTTAAAGAATATTTTTCAAGGACCAACAGACCAATAAACGTGGATTTTTAACGAATATTTTTTCAAGGACCAACAGACCAATAAACGTGGATTTTTAAAGAATATTTTTTCAAGGACCAACATAAACGTGGATTTTTAAAGAATATTTTTTCAAGGACCAACAGACCAATAAACGTGGATTTTTAAAGAATATTTTTCAAGGACCAACATAAACGTGGATTTTTAAAGAATATTTTTTCAAGGACCAACAGACCAATAAACGTGGATTTTTAACGAATATTTTTTCAAGGACCAACAGACCAATAAACGTGGATTTTTAAAGAATATTTTTTCAAGGACCAACAGACCAATAAACGTGGATTTTTAAAGAATATTTTTTCAAGGACCAACAGACCAATAAACGTGGATTTTAAAGAATATTTTTTCAAGGACCAACAGACCAATAAACGTGGATTTTTAACGAATATTTTTTCAAGGACCAACAGACCAATAAACGTGGATTTTTAAAGAATATTTTTTCAAGGACCAACAGACCAATAAACGTGGATTTTTAAAGAATATTTTTTCAAGGACCAACAGACCAATAAACGTGGATTTTTAAAGAATATTTTTTCAAGGACCAACAGACCAATAAACGTGGATTTTTAAAGAATATTTTTTCAAGGACCTACAGACCAATAAACGTGGATTTTAAAGAATATTTTTTCAAGGACCTACAGACCAATAAACGTGGATTTTTAAAGAATATTTTTCAAGGACCTACAGACCAATAAACGTGGATTTTTAAAGAATATTTTTTCAAGGACCTACAGACCAATAAACGTGGATTTTTAAAGAATATTTTTTCAAGGACCTACAGACCAATAAACGTGGATTTTTAAAGAATATTTTTTCAAGGACCTACAGACCAATAAACGTGGATTTTTAAAGAATATTTTTTCAAGGACCAACAGAGCCAATAAACATGGATTTTTAAAGAATATTTTTTCAAGGACCAACAGAGCCAATAAACATGGATTTTTAATGAATATTTTTTAAAGATCATCAGAGCCAATAAACGTGGATTTTGAAGAATATTTTTTAGGGATCATCAGAGCCAATGAACGTGGATTTTTGAAGAATATTTTTAAGGATCATCAGAGCCAATAAACATGAATTTTTAAAGAATATTTTTTAAGGATCATCAGAGCCAATAAACGTGGATTTTTGAAGAGTACTTTTTAAGGATCATCAGAGCCGATATACGTGGATTTAAATAGAATTTTCTAAAGACCTTCAGAGCTTAAACCTAAATTCTTTAAAGGATTATCTGTGCCATAAGTGTGATCTTTTAAAAATATTCTTTCAAGGACTTTCAGTGCTATAAACAAGAGGTATGAACCTGAATTCTTAAAAAAAAACTTCAGAGGTATGAACCTGCATTTTTTTAAATAAACATTTGGGTCATAAGATGGAGTTTTAAAGAATATTATTTGGAGGATAATCAGAGCAATAAGCGTGGAGTTTTAAAGAATATTTTTTCAAGAGCCATCTACTCATCTGGATATTTAAAATGAGGCCATAAGCGTGGCTTTTTAAAGAATATTATTAAATAATATTTTTTCAAGAGCCATCTATCCATCTGGATATTTAAAAGAAAATGGATATGAAAAGAAATTTTAGAATTCTACCTCTACCAATACAATACTTTCAAGTTTTAGGACCTTTTAGTGCTTGTAGAAAACCCCAAATTGTACCAAATTTATAACAGTTTTTACACTGACTGCACATTTCATAAATTTAATTCAATTATTTCTTACACCATAAGTCTACATTTTACGTTTCACATAATACAGAATACCAAATGGTGCCAAATATATAGATTTTAGTACACTTTTTGGTCGAATTTCATGAAAACCTATAGTGCACCTATCCTACACCCCATCAGCGATCTTCATTCCAAATTTCAGATTTGTAACTTTGTCCAATACAATGGGTGCAATTTTTATAACCTTTTAGTACACTAAGGGATAAATAGTATAATATGTCTGTCACCTGGCTCTTTGTTAGAAAATAAGAAGATGCTCTTTCATTAGAAATTATAATCTCCTCTTACATCGAATCTGGCATCCCTAATCCTTCAGCATTCTGCTTACGAAAATTTCCCACATAATGAATCCAAGAAAAGAATTTGCAACTTTCACATTAAAATGCTGATGAAAACTATTCCTACTAATCGAATTAAGAATAATTCAAAAAATAAAAAGGCATTTCTAGAACAGACTTTGCCGTTAGAAAATGTTGCCTAGTAATTCTCATGGCATTACTCGATTTCAGAAAAATGACTTTCCACTTAAAGCCTATTACAAATTGATCATTCACATAAGTACCTTGGCAAAGAAAGGAAAAGAAACGAAGAAAACATAGAACTCCTCTTAAAGTTCCACTTGAAAGAGAACATTAAACTTTTGCCATGTGTCTTAGCAGGCGTTCCATTTTCTACTTTTTTTTTTTTGCTTTACCAACTGCATGTCCTTAATACATCCTTTATGTTTTCACACACAATTTATTGTGAAGTGCATAAATAATATGGCCCAGATAGAACGATTTAGCCAAGCAGCCAGCCAGCCAGTCAGCCAACATCCAGTCATCAGCCACTCCAACACATGTTTATGCATAGAGACACCATTTGCACTAACACACACACACCCTCTCAGTCTTCTTACTCATTCTCATTTTCTCCGCTTGGCAAATATACGCACTCACACTTCTATAACACACATGATTAAACACAAACTGTGGCATCAACAAAAAAACAATTCTTTAACATTTCGCCCAACCCGAACACCTCCTAACACCCCATTCGTGAAAACCATTTTCTCACCATAATTGTGGTGGATGTGTGATGGTGTGTGTGTGTGTGGAAAATTTGAAAATAACTGCAATCAAAAATGCACGTTAATAAGAAAACGAAAAAAATGCGCAAAAGAGAAAAATGCTGTTGCTCGAAAGGCTGGAGTGAAAAATCAACGAAAAGAAATCAGTATGTGTCCTTGTAATACTCTCTGGCTGCTAAGGAAGAATTATTACATAATGATATGCTAAGAGATACTTCATCATTATGCCCACCATCACCATCACCATCGTCATCATTATCATCTGTCTTTACATAACTTTCCAGTTTTTTTCTGCACCACCAGAACAAAAGATGGAACTCCAAAATGCACAAATACTGTGACGGTGCCACTTCAACCGCACATAGACAAATGCGTTGTGGACATAGCTGTTTTTGCTGAGTAAAGAGGGTTGGGGATAATGATGATGATGATGATGATGTTAGCGATGATGATGGTGATGGTCTTTGTTTAAACTCTTTGTTAATCCAACTGCATAATATATGCAAATATTAATGACCAAAACTAAAAAAGGCACACTTTGGAGGAGAATGCTTCACGAAATAAATTTAAAGAGTAGAATCCCTTCCATCTCATGAGGGGAATAATTTAGGCAACTGTATGTAAATGGTAAAATATCTACATTTTTTGAAGGACTACATAAGATTTTGGATTTTGGGAGACATGATTTTAAAGCACTAAGAGTACTATATTGGTATACGTTTTAGATTTTTTCGGAATCCTCGGTGTTTCAATAGCGAATTTTTCAAGGACATTTTACAAAATCTAGAATAGAGCACCCATCGTGGATTTTTTTACAATTTTAATGAAAACTCTGAGCTGTGATCTTTAACATTTTAGGAAAATTGTAAAAATGATTATCATATATATTGTAGAGGATGTTTAAAAAAAATAATCTATGAAGGGTATCCAAAACAATGCTTCTACTTTTAGTAATATTTCATAAAGGAGATTCAGAGAAATGTTTTATATTTTGGGGCTACTATCCTTGGAACCCTTTAG